AACACACATTATCCCATGAGAATAAAACATTTGCAAAAGTTCAGTCTGAACACTATGAGCCTTACCTTATCATGTGACCATCGTTGTACCATTTTCAATCAGATTTTGCAGTGTTAATTTTTTCACATTGTCACATTGCAAATTTGCTGTGTATCTAAAAGTGATGCATGCTATTGAATTAACACCCAAAATTGTGCCCAGCTTAACATCATGAGTGCATCAATAACTCCAGTGTATACCACGTTTTTGTAAATTAGAACCAAATCAGCAATAATAACCTGGTCTTTGCCAATTTTGCAAAACTTAGAAAGTTGAAGATTGGCTTTTAGAGGCATATTAGCATCTCATATTTCCAATAACTCCATATATGTAAGGCATTTGCAAAAATAGTTATTTTGAGCCTTATGTTAAGGCAATTTTATAGCAGTAATAGCGCAGTATCATTGAACAGGGATATTAATCTTTTTAGGCCTTAAAGATATACCTAAACGATATGACTAGAATGTTTTTACCTCATATTTATAATCTCCATGTACCAATTGATTGACAATATTTCACTATCTCTGAACATTACTCAATATGGAGGATAAAGTCATCAATATAGGAAGAAGCAGGTTTTCAGTATTGTCCAGAGTTTTCTTAACATATGATGGATATTGTAATGTGTCTGATATTGAATTACAAAGTCCATTCTATTCAGATGTAACTTTAATTAAGGTCAAATCTCTTTAACTTCCCCATCTGGAGCCCCAGATATCGACTGAAACCAGAGTCTCCCCAATTTGAGCAGTGAGGACATTCCATTAACAGTGTCCACTATTTGCAGGACAGCATAGAATGTCCTAACATTGTGGCGGGATTAAGGGGATAGATTCCCGTTCTGATGTCACTGTAGAGATGGAACATGTAGCTGCTGCAATTCGTTTCAAATTATTGCAACGATAATCAATAGAATAAACAGAGATAGGGACACAGTAGGAACTTCCACCATAATCCCTTTAAAGTCATAATATGCATTCAGCTGAAATACAATAGGCAACCCTCTTAAATATTGCTCTAATGTTATGTGGTTTATTTTAAAGAGAGCACACCCAAAACATGCTTGAGGTGTGTTAATGTGTTATTATTTTTGCTAACTAGCAAAGGGAGGGCTGGTAAGAGGGGCCAGGGGCAATTGCTTCCTAGGGCACTTAACAGAGAGGTTTGTGGGCACTGGCCTCACACATCATATAACTGGATTTATTATTATTGTATTCCAGTTATTACATTGTTAGTATAGCACATGTAATATAAATTTAAGAAAGGGAGGGGAGTGCACTGGAGTGGGACAGTATGTTGGTTTCATCTCATATTAGTGTCTTTGTATTTGCCCCCAGGAAAAAAGGAACTCCCACTTCAGGTACTCTGTGTACAATCCTGCTATATTCTTTGATAAGTTATATCAGATACATGTAAACCCACAGCCTACATCCAATTTGGACCACTGCAACCTTCTTTGATTTCACTTATGTTACATCAATCTATATAATATCCTGCTTCTTGCTCCATGTCGTCTCTCGGTATTGTTAATCAGATTATTATTATTATAGAAACATAGAAACATAGAATGTGACGGCAGATCAGAACCATTCGGCCCATCTAGTCTGCCCAATTTTCTAAATACTTTCATTAGTCCCTAGTCTTATCTTATAGTTAGGATAGCCTTATGCCTATCCCACGCATGCTTAAACTCCTTTACTGTGTTAACCTCTACCACTTCAGCTGGAAGGCTATTCCATGCATCCACTACCCTCTCAGTAAAGTAATACTTCCTGATATTATTTTTAAACCTTTGTCCCTCTAATTTAAGACTATGTCCTCTTGTTGTGGTAGTTTTTCTTCTTTTAAATATAGTCTCCTCCTTTACTGTGTTGATTCCCTTTATATATTTAAATGTTTCTATCATATCCCCCCTGTCTCGTCTTTCCTCCAAGCTATACATGTTAAGATCCTTTAACCTTTCCTGGTAAGTTTTATCCCGCAATCCATGAACCAGTTTAGTAGCCCTTCTCTGAACCCTCTCTAAGGTATCAATATCCTTCTGAAGATACGGTCTCCAGTACTGTGTACAATACTCCAAGTGAGGTCTCACCAGTGTTCTGTACAATGGCATTAGCCCTTCCCTCTTTCTACTGCTAATACCTCTCCCTATACAACTAAGCATTCTGCTAGCATTTCCTGCTGCTCTATTATATTGTCTGCCTACCTTTAAGTCATCAGAAATAATCACCCCTAAATCCCTTTCCTCATATGTTGAGGTTAGGACTCTATCAAATATTCTGTACTCTGCCCTTGGGTTTTTACGTCCAAGATGCATTATCTTGCACTTATCCACATTAAAAGTCAGTTGCCACAATTCTGACCATTTTTTCTAGTTTACCTAAATCATTTGTCATTTGGCTTATCCCTCCTGGAACATATCTTAGTATTATGATATTTATATAACGCCATCAAATTCCGCAGCGCTTTACAATGGGTGGACGAACCAGACACATATCTTAGTATTATGATATTTATATAGCGCCATCAAATTCCGCAGCGCTTTACAATGGGTGGACGAACCAGACAAGTTGGACACACAGGAACAGAGTGGTTGAGGGCCCTGCTCAATGAGCTTACATGCTAGAGGGAGTGGGGTAAAATGACACAAAAAGGTAAGGATAGTATTAGATTAGTGACAGTTGCAGAAGATTAATCAGTCAGGAGCTATTAACAGTTTAATTGATATTTAATTGATTTAACAGATATTTCATTGTGCAGAATTTAATATACTTCTACCTAAACTGACAATCACTTTACTTCTAACTAAAAACATTTCTCACTTACAAAGCTCTCTGCAATTCTATAAATGATTGCTATAATTAGATATTCCAGTTGTATTTTTTCTGCACCTGACAGACGAGATGAAAATTGAAAAGGTCAAAGAAATGGTTATTCATTATTGTTATTATAATATTTATATAGCGCCAGCAAATTCCGTGGTGCTGTAAAATAGGTGGACTAACAGACACGTATTTGTAACTAGACAAGCTGGAAGCACAGGAACAGAGGGATTGAGGGCCCTGCTCAATGAGCTTACATGCTAGAAGGAGTGGGGTATAGTGACACAAAAGGTAAGGATAGATAAGTAGGTTGTTAGGACAGTGTTCATTGAGGGTTAGTGTTTTGTTTTGATGACAGTTCCAGAAGAGGAATCGGGGTACCGGGAGGGAAAGCTGTCCACAGTTTAATTGATATGCTTTCCTAAATAAGTAAGTTTTCAAAGATTTTTTGAAGGAGTGGAGTTTGAGTGAAAGTCTAACAGAGAGGGGAAGGGTGTTCCATAGGAATTGTGCAGCCCTAGAGAAAGTGAGATTTGTTGGGAATGCAAAGGGCATTCAAAGTGATTTGCAAATTTAAGGCCAAAATAGCTGAATTGGAAAAATCGACAAATCAGCCATGTTTACAGTTTGGCTATTTTTCACTTTGAATTCCCAGCAATACTCAATTTAGTAAAAAGCTCTGTTGGGTGCTCAAATTGCAAAATACATCATGGCCGTGGTCTAACAAAACCTTTTTCTGGTATTTTTTTTAGTTAAATTGATAAAGTACAGTTAATCATATTAACAAATTGCTTTCTATTAAACAGACACTAGAGGGAGGTGTTCTCCACTAAAATTAAGTAATCAATAGACAAAGGAAACATTACGGATACATGTTGAAAAGCAGTAAAGTGAGATTAGCCATCTGATCTTCCTAGTCCTAGCAAACATGAAAGCTTAGAGCCAGCAATTTATCAAACAGTGAGTCCAGCTGTCATGTTCACTGGCACTCTACCTAGAATGGTGTTCATACATTAAAGGGACACTATAGTCACCAAAACAACGTTAGCTTAATGAACCCATTTTGGTGTGTAGACCATGCCCCTGCAATCTCACTGCTCAATTCTTTGCAATTTAGGAGTTAAATCACTTTGTTTATGCAGACATACTCACACCCCTTGCATGTGACTTGCACATCCTTCCTAAACACTCCCTGTAAAGAGAGATCTAATATTTACACTTCCTTTATTTCAAATTCTGTTTCATTTATGATTTCATATCTCCTATTCTGTTAATAGCTTGCTAGACTCTGCAGGAGCCTCCTGTGTGTGATTACAGTTCAATCTACAGAGCAGGAGATACAAACTGTTAAAGTAAGTTACATCTGATTGAAAGTGAAACCAATTTTGTTTTCATGCATGCTGTGTCAGTCACATGCAGGGAGGTGTGGCTAGGTCTGCATAAACAGAAACAAGAATTATTTAACTTCTAAATGGCAGAGAATTGAGCAGTGAAACTCCAAAGGCATTATCTATACACCAAAACTGCTTCATTAAGCTTAAGTTGTTTTGGTGACTTTAGTGTCCCTTTAAGAATCATTAATTTTGAATGTATATATAATACAGATCTTGTATATAATCCCTGATGATATCACAACAGGTTTAATTTATTTATTTAAAATGTCCTATATAGACCCCTTAAACTGATCTCTTTACAAGATTTATTAATAGATATGTAATAGTGAGATGATTATTAGTAAATAAGAGATACGATTAACATAATGTAAGTGAAGCAATGTGAATTCAGAGATAACAAGCAGTTGCAAGAAAAAGTATGTGAACCCTTTGGAATGATATGGATTTCTGCACAAATTGGTCATAAAATGTGATCTGATCATCATCTAAGTCACAACAATAGACAATCACAGTCTGCTTAAACTAATAACACACAAAGAATTAAATGTTGCCATGTTTTTATTGAACACACCATGTAAACATTCACAGTGCAGGTGGAAAAAGTATGTGAACCCTTGGATTTAATAACTGGTTGAACCTCCTTTGGCAGCAATAACTTTAACCAAACGTTTCCTGTAGTTGCAGATCAGACGTGCACAATGGTCAGGAGTAATTCTTGACCATTTCTCTTTACAGAACTGTTTCAGTTCAGCAATATTCTTGGGATGTCTGGTGTGAATCGCTTTCTTGAGGTCATGCCACAGCATCTCAATTGGGTTGAGGTCAGGACTCTGACTGGGCCACTTCAGAAGGCGTATTTTCTTCTGTTTAAGCCGTTCTGTTGTTGATTTACTTCTATGCTTTGGGTCATTGTCCTGTTGCAACACCCATCTTCTGTTGAGCTTCAGCTGGTAGACAGATGGCCTTAAGTTCTCCTGCAAAATGTCTTGATAAAATTGGGAATTCATTTTTCCTTCGATGAAAGCAATCCATCCAGGCCCTGACGCAGCAAAGCAGCCCCAAACCATGATGCCCCCACCACCATACTTCACAGTTTGTATGAGGTTTTGATGTTGGTGTGCTGTGCATTTTTTTCGCCACACATAGTGTTGTGTGTTTCTTCCAAACAACTCAACTTTGGTTTCATCTGTCCACAGAATATTTTGCCTGTACTGCTGTGGAACATCCAGGTTGTGCAAACTGTAAACTTGCAGCCATGTTTTGTTTGGACAGCAGTGGATTCCTCTGTGGTATCCTACCATGAAATCCATTCTTGTTTAGTGTTTTACGTATTGTAGATTCGCTAACAGGGATGTTAACATTTGCCAGTGACTTTTGTAAGTCTTTAGCTGACACTCTAAGATTCTTCTTCACCTCATTGAGCAGTCTGCGCTGTGCTCTTGCAGTCATCTTTACAGGACGGCCACTCCTAGGGAGAGTAGCAGCAGTGCTGAACTTTCTCCTTTTATAGACAATTTGTCTTACCGTGGACTGATGAACAGCAAGGCTTTTGGAGATACTTTTATAACCCTTTCCAGCATTATGCAAGTCAACAATTCTTAATCGTAGGTCTTCTGAGGTCTCTTTTGTGTGAGGCATCATTCACATCAGGCAATGCTTCTTGTGAAAAGCAAACCCAGAACTGGCGTGTGTTTTTTATAGGGCAGGGTAGCTGTAACCAACACCTCCAATCTCATCTCATTGATTGAACTCCAGTTGGCTGACATCTCACTCCAATTAGCTCTTGGAGATGTCATTAGTCTAGGGGTTCACATACTTTTTCCACCTGCATGGTGTGTTCAATAAAAACATGGCAACATTTCATTCTTTGTGTGTTATTAGTTTAAGCAGATTGTGATTGTCTATTGTTGTGACATAGATGATCACATTTTATGACCAATTTGTGCAGAAATCCATATAATTCCAAAGGGTTCACATACTTTTTCTTACAACTGAGTCTGGCAAATTTCAATGTGTATAAACTGAAAAATGTAATGTGCTATATTTGACCCTGTAACTTTCCAAAACACCATAAAACCTGTATATTGGAGGTACTGTTTTACCCGTGAGACATCGCTGAATACAAATATGTGTACTTTATTGCGGTAACAGAAAACAGTATTGTGACATTCACAGTTAAAATGCCACGCAGAACTAAAAAAATTTTTAAATGTCTTCATTTCTTAATTTTTTTAATATTTCATTCATATAAAATTATGTTTAATATACAAATATTTGATGTGACATGAAAGGCCTGTTTCTCCTAAACAAAATGATATATGATAAATGTGGGTGCACATAATATGAAAGAGGTGATTTACGCCTGAACAGACATATATTCAAGGTTTTGTTTATGTTTTGTTTTTATCACAACTTGTATAACTGACTCAGTCCTCGGGCTTATCAGGGCTAAATGAGTCTAAGTTTTAATTTATATGCCAAATCTGAGATCTCTAAACATATATCTCTAAATATTAAAATAGCAACTACATTTATCAACATATACATATCCCTGTAATTTTTTAGTAGGGCTAGTGAATGCCTTGATGCATTTAAAAGGAACAGGGATGCAAATGTACCCTTGTTTGGCACATATCATTATCAGAGAACCTTACAGTTTATGCAGATTTATAAAACAAACCTGCAGCTTCCCAGGTGTTTTTTTTTCTAAATCACCACCCCTCTTAGACAGGAAAGTGTACACAGTATTTGGGATTCAGCTATGCATCCATAAAAAGATCAAATAAAGCATACATTGTGAAGTACAGGAAAAAAAAAATCTGTGCTCGGGAAATGTGCTCACAGAGAATGTAGAAGATTGGTGCCTTGGGGTGCCTCCCCTGGTTTAGACTGGGTGGCTATTACCTTCTTTGTCTCGCCTTCACCAGCGATGTGGTCCAAAGCTTCGTAAATTGATGAAAAACTCTCAACCCAAAGTGTTGGACATAGCTTAAACATTGCACTACTAACCTCCTCGCTCTGTGTGGCCGCATGCACCCCCAGCTCTAACATGTTCACTATAATTCCTTCTTCTTTCTGTTGTCTGCCTCCCATCTTTGGTCCAACAGCTTTCTTCCCTATGCAATTATTCCCATAGGCTTCATCCTCTTCTAGCCCCCCTATCTGGACCTCAATCCTGCTCTTTCCCTTTCACCCTTTTATAACCTCCCTACAGACCACTCAAACCTTACTCACTCACACTATGTCCAGGTCACTCACAGCCACTCATCGATACTCTCGCTCTCACGCACACTCACACTGTTCAAATAAAAAGCACAAGTCTTATTTTGTTTGCAATCTGAACTTTTCCATAAATACTTATTCAGTTTCTGTATTTCCTTGAGCAGATATCTTTGAATATGCGAGGACTGTGATGAAAGCCTGCAAATTCCACATATAGGAGGTGGAGTTTAAGTGATTGTGATTGGCAGATAAGGATTGCTAAGGCAATAGAAAGTTATGTGAATTCCACTATATTGGCTGAAGCTGTAGAAGGTGACAGATGGTTCACACAACCACCAATGGTGGAGAGGTTGCTGTTCTTGTAGACAGGAGAATACTATGGGGTTATTGTCTAGTAACACTACAAAGGTGTTACTAGTTTACAGGTGAAGCGTTCTACCAGTAGTAGAGGATTTTGAGGTGATGATTGCATAGGGTGTGACGTGTGGTGTCTGTCTGTTTTGCCTTATGTTAAACTAAGTTATTGTTGGCCTAAAAGGTAAAAAGAGACCTGGGTTCATTATTACACAGCTGAAAAGAGACTTACATCCATCAAGTTCAGCCTTCCTCACATTTGTTTTTTGCTGTTGATCCAAAAGAAGGCAAAACACTTTGAGTCACTTCCAATTTTTCAACAAGTTAGGAAATAAATTCCTTCTTGACCCCAGAATGGCAGTCAGATTAATCCTTGGATCAAGCAGTTATTACCCTACATTTAAAGATTATATCCTTGAATATTCTGTTTTTGCAAATATGCATCTAGTTGCTATTTGAACATATGTACGGACTCTGATAAAACCACTTCTTCAGGCATAGAATTCCACATCCTTATTGTTCTTATAGTAAAAAACCTGTGAAAACAAGTAAAGGGGTCTTAGGGTGTGATGATGTCCCTCTTTACACCCATCATTTTTAGGTCTGCTGCCCATTGAATTTGTAGCACTGCATTAGCAGTCTGTTGTAGTTCAGAATTTCTCAACATTTTAAGAATCTTATGAGGTATGATTGTTGTGACTCAGCTTAATCTATCTCCATGAAACAAAACGATGAATTGACACATCTGGGAAGTGACGGACATGAAGTTTGCATAAGTATAATATAGAAAAATAAAACTTACTTCCTGAAACAAAGTATGATCCACTCATGTCCTGTTTCGGAGAAACTCTAGGATAGCCTCCACTCTTTTTTTTTCCTGCCCCATTTTCTCTGTACTATACTTATGCACAAACTGCAATGTTGTACATATTCCTATTATCATCCAACATTAAATAAAGATTTTTTTTTTTTTTTTTACTTACAAACAGAAGCTTCAGGACCCCAGTTTGTCTAGGGGCTACAGGGGAGAAGGAAGAGATGAGATTCAATGGGAACTTTCAGGTATATTAAAGGAATAAAAAACTGGACTTATGGACTGGACATATTTTTCATAGAAAGAACAAAATCTATGTGTACATTCACTTCTTTACAGAAAGGGTAGTTGATCCATGGAATAGACTTCCAGCAGAGGCGGTGAAGACAAAGAATGAAAGGGAATCCATAAAACTATCCTAAAAACTAAGAAAGATTAAACGTATAAAAATGACAGTGACCTTCCTTCTGGATTAAGGAATTGTTACTGTAGTTATTTCATGATTCAATTTTAATTTGTTCGGCTCTCACTGTGGGGTTAAACTTGCTATGACAGCTAATATGTAAGGCGTATGTGTGGGTGTTGAGGAAACCAGTCTAACTTGATGATGTGACAAGTATTAAACGGGTTTACACCTAATTACATTTTGGTTCCTTACCTCATCAACCACTTCCACCAAGCCAAGTCTATAACCTATAATATTAACATTTATTTCCATATGTTCGCTCTTAAGATTAGATATTTCCTCATTGTTGGTTTAATCTCTATATAGTATTAGATCCAACAATATCAATTATAGGGAAAAACCCATTACATTTATATTTTTAGATCAGAAACAATATTGCATATTTTCAGTTTAAACACGTTAATTTTCCCAAATGTAGTATTTTTTTGCATGTATCTGTTATCGGCAGTTTTATAGGACTCTCTCAATTTACTACAGATCTCAATTTACTACAGATCATAAGATAAAGCTAGAAGGGACGTATTACAGCAATAAATTAAACGAAAAGACAGATTAAGTTCTAATCGATTTGACTAAAAAGGTTCTATAGATAAATTGTGTAGTAATATATTACCAATTTGCACAGAGTAAATTATTCAATAAACTGTGAATTGTTAAAATTTGGCAAGAGAACTGTAAATTCTCCAAATCATGTAATTTTACAACTTTTCATTTTGGCCTAAAACATTGCAATTCCCTTGTCAAGCATCTACAATTCTGGTTTAATGAATTAACTCCTTAAAGAGAAATTATGGTCCAGAAAATAATACTATTTTGGGACGAAAGTGTATCAATGTGAGCACAGTCCAGTTGCTTTTGCTGCAAATAAATTAAGTGAAATAATGATTTGTTAGCTCATTTTCAGTTCCTGGACCCCTATGCTGCAGAAGTCCACTCACAATCGAAGATATCAACCTGCTGACATATTCTGCGATCTCTTCCAATCCAATGCTTAGCAGAGAAAAGCATTGAATTGGAGATACTTATAGAAAGCCGAGTGCTGCACTCCTCCAACCATGCTGCTATGAGCAGCATTTGATTGCAGGACTGAGTTTCACTCAGCCTTGGAGGAGTAAGCA